TGTAGGGTCAGAGAGGCTTTGGACCTGTGTCTCCATCAGACTGTAGGGTCAGAGAGGCTTTGGACCTGTGTCTCCATCAGACTGTAGGGTCAGAGAGGCTTTGGACCTGTGTCTCCATCAGACTGTAGGGTCAGAGAGGCTTTGGACCTGTGTCTCCATCAGACTGTAGGGTCAGAGAGGCTTTGGACCTGTGTCTCCATCAGACTGTAGGGTCAGAGAGGCTTTGGACCTGTGTCTCCATCAGACTGTAGGGTCAGAGAGGCTTTGGACCTGTGTCTCCATCAGACTGTAGGGTCAGAGAGGCTTTGGACCTGTGTCTCCATCAGACTGTAGGGTCAGAGAGGCTTTGGACCTGTGTCTCCATCAGACTGTAGGGTCAGAGAGGCTTTGGACCTGTGTCTCCATCAGACTGTAGGGTCAGAGAGGCTTTGGACCTGTGTCTCCATCAGACTGTAGGGTCAGAGAGGCTTTGGACCTGTGTCTCCATCAGACTGTAGGGTCAGAGAGGCTTTGGACCTGTGTCTCCATCAGACTGTAGGGTCAGAGAGGCTTTGGACCTGTGTCTCCATCAGACTGTAGGGTCAGAGAGGCTTTGGACCTGTGTCTCCATCAGACTGTAGGGTCAGAGAGGCTTTGGACCTGTGTCTCCATCAGACTGTAGGGTCAGAGAGGCTTTGGACCTGTGTCTCCATCAGACTGTAGGGTCAGAGAGGCTTTGGACCTGTGTCTCCATCAGACTGTAGGGTCAGAGAGGCTTTGGACCTGTGTCTCCATCAGACTGTAGGGTCAGAGAGGCTTTGGACCTGTGTCTCCATCAGACTGTAGGGTCAGAGAGGCTTTGGACCTGTGTCTCCATCAGACTGTAGGGTCAGAGAGGCTTTGGACCTGTGTCTCCATCAGACTGTAGGGTCAGAGAGGCTTTGGACCTGTGTCTCCATCAGACTGTAGGGTCAGAGAGGCTTTGGACCTGTGTCTCCATCAGACTGTAGGGTCAGAGAGGCTTTGGACCTGTGTCTCCATCAGACTGTAGGGTCAGAGAGGCTTTGGACCTGTGTCTCCATCAGACTGTAGGGTCAGAGAGGCTTTGGACCTGTGTCTCCATCAGACTGTAGGGTCAGAGAGGCTTTGGACCTGTGTCTCCATCAGACTGTAGGGTCAGAGAGGCTTTGGACCTGTGTCTCCATCAGACTGTAGGGTCAGAGAGGCTTTGGACCTGTGTCTCCATCAGACTGTAGGGTCAGAGAGGCTTTGGACCTGTGTCTCCATCAGACTGTAGGGTCAGAGAGGCTTTGGACCTGTGTCTCCATCAGACTGTAGGGTCAGAGAGGCTTTGGACCTGTGTCTCCATCAGACTGTAGGGTCAGAGAGGCTTTGGACCTGTGTCTCCATCAGACTGTAGGGTCAGAGAGGCTTTGGACCTGTGTCTCCATCAGACTGTAGGGTCAGAGAGGCTTTGGACCTGTGTCTCCATCAGACTGTAGGGTCAGAGAGGCTTTGGACCTGTGTCTCCATCAGACTGTAGGGTCAGAGAGGCTTTGGACCTGTGTCTCCATCAGACTGTAGGGTCAGAGAGGCTTTGGACCTGTGTCTCCATCAGACTGTAGGGTCAGAGAGGCTTTGGACCTGTGTCTCCATCAGACTGTAGGGTCAGAGAGGCTTTGGACCTGTGTCTCCATCAGACTGTAGGGTCAGAGAGGCTTTGGACCTGTGTCTCCATCAGACTGTAGGGTCAGAGAGGCTTTGGACCTGTGTCTCCATCAGACTGTAGGGTCAGAGAGGCTTTGGACCTGTGTCTCCATCAGACTGTAGGGTCAGAGAGGCTTTGGACCTGTGTCTCCATCAGACTGTGTAGGGTCAGAGAGGCTTTGGACCTGTGTCTCCATCAGACTGTAGGGTCAGAGAGGCTTTGGACCTGTGTCTCCATCAGACTGTAGGGTCAGAGAGGCTTTGGACCTGTGTCTCCATCAGACTGTAGGGTCAGAGAGGCTTTGGACCGGTGTCTCCATCAGACTGTAGGGTCAGAGAGGCTTTGGACCGGTGTCTCCATCAGACTGTAGGGTCAGAGAGGCTTTGGACCGGTGTACCCTAGGTGTCTCTGTTGATGGTAACCATGGTGCCTCTGTTGATGGTAACCATGTGTGGTGTCCAGGGTCGGAGCTGATGCCCAAAGCCCTGTCCACTCGTATCGTGGGGGGCATCTGGTGGTTCTTCACCCTCATCATCATCTCCTCGTACACGGCCAACCTGGCGGCCTTCCTCACCGTGGAGCGCATGGAGTCTCCCATCGACTCTGCCGACGACCTCGCCAAGCAGACCAAGATCCCCTACGGCGTGGTGGAGGACGGCGCCACCATGACCTTCTTCAAGGTACTGCACCCACAGGACTCAGGGGACTGTGAGAGACCAGAGAGAGACCAGAGAGAGAGAGACCAGAGAGACTAGAGAGAGAGAGACCTGAGAGAGAGACCAGAAAGAGACCAAAGAGAGACCAGAGAGAGAG